TGGGGGGGTCCCAGCCTGCAGGAACCTGGGTCACGGTGGCAGCGCCCCGTTATGTTCCCGAGACAGCGGGAGCTTCCCACGCTCCAGCCTTCTCCCGGGGAAAATACTCCTCTGCTCGCTGAAGTCCCCTGCCGAGGTGCCCGTGTCACACTTGTTCGCGGGAGCGAGAGCTGTTGGCAGCAAGGCTTTCCCAAAATCAGGCGCCCGAGTCACGGGCTGCTGCCTGACCGGCATTCACCTCTGTTTCTCTGCCGCTTGAGGCTTTTAAACCTCGTCTCTAACTTCGTGAGGTTCGGAGGTAAACAACTGCGGAAGGCTCCTCAGCCCAGCATTTCTTTGTTTGTGGTGTTATTTATACAGCTCGGCGGGGGGCGAGGGTTTTCTGTTCGGAAATAAAGCTAGATGTGGCAGTTAACCTTGTGCCTCGAGAGATTCCAGCATTCTGTATCTTCTTTAGCAATAGCAGACTTGAACCATCAGGGATTTTTTTTTTTTTTTTAAATTAAATTATTCCATTAGGAAATTTTGGAGCATCTGCTTGCATTATTGAAGCCAACAAGGCATTACTGCAGAGTGGAGAGCTGGTTCTCGTATGCATTGATGTCCTCCCACAGTATGAAAGTTGTAAAGAAGTCTGTTTTAAATCCCAAAATGTTTCCACGGCCCATAAAATCCCATGTTCCTGGCCTGAAGGACAGATGTCTTGAGGGTTTAAAAAAATAGTTTTCATTTATTAGCATAATAATTGAGAGACAGCAGATACTTGCTCTCAATGTCTGTCTGTCTCTATATATAGGCGTTAACCATCGGCTGAGTTCAGATAACATAGGAATATAAGGCTTACACGGGGGAGAAGAGGCACTGAGATTTTTTTTTTCCCTACTTCCTGTTTAAGTAACATGGCTAAATACCATACCACTATAAACGAACCACAAAATACAGCTGACATTTCTACTTCTTAATTACTTTCTACGTAGGCAGGTTTAATTATATTTCAGAAATACGCGATTGCTGCAAATTTGGCTGTACAGGTTTTCTCCTGAACAGACCTCATGCCAATCTTTTATAATCACACTTGTGTCCAGGTAAAAAGTCCCTCTACAGGAAGTTTTTTGTATTATTCATAATCTATAAATCGCATAAAGCCATTTGTCAATAAGCTGTTAGTATTCTAAATGCATCGCTTGCCATGACTACAGAAACAACCTATCATTACTTAGCATCATATGCTCCTTTTTATCTCTTCTTCACTAGAAGTCTTCATATAGTCCAATTATTGCATCCAATCAGAAAGAAAAAAAAGTCCTATTAATAGACACATAGATTTAATCCCAAAAGGAAACTGTTGGGAATAACGTTCAAAGTAAGCCTCCGTATTTTACAAGTTGCACCTTAAATTCTGCATGGAAGGGTCTACCTATAGCGGCAGTAATTTTTTTTCTCTCCATACACACAGCTTTGTGTGCAGAACTGGGACAGTTCTGCTATACCATATATGAAGTACCATGAAGCTCAGTATATTGTGAAAAGTCACATATCTTTTAATAATACTTAGAAACAGTTTAATCTTCTGTTCTTAACATGGAATGCATATATACATTTCTGTCATCCACAAAGGTTATATTTTTTGGCTGTATACCTCAGGGCAGAAGAGAGCCCATCATACTCACTTTGTGGCAGTTGAATTTTCTTCCGTTCCGCTTGTTCAGAACTACCCTATGTTCTTCCTCAGCTATCAATAATAAGGACCAATTTAAATAAACATCTTAATATAATTCTTATTGCCTCTGTCCATAGTGTGCAGCAAAACTTTTAAAATTCTAACCCTGAATCCCATCGTCTTACAGTGATTATTTGCACTCATCCAGATCCCCCAGCCAGTAGTGCTGAGCGGAAGCGATGGTGGACCGCGGCAGCACTGAGGTTGCAAGAGCTGCAGGTTTTGCTGAAGCGGAGCCCAGCCGATGCCCACCTGCTTTCTCAGCGGCGTATGCAACCTGCTGGAGGCCAGGGTGCTTGCTGCATTTTGGTTGTCGAAAGACAAAGCCTTTTCCTCCCGTCTTCAGTCCTCAATGAGATTTTAAACACACTAGAATAATTCTTTAATCCTAGCACAGCTTGCAAAACGCAACTGCTCTATAACAATAAAGCATTATAACCCTCTACGTCATATGAGAGAAAAGCAGCTGCTTGCTTAATAAAGCCATGTTCCTGTTATGCTTTGGAAGCAAATATATCTATCTATAATTTCCTCATACCTGCTATTCCCCCAAAATGGGTTTGCTAAGAGCTTGTTCCCATTCTTCAAATATGCTCCCTCTTTCATTTCCATATGCTATTATTTGGTTAAAACCCCCCACAAACTCTAAGTTAAATCCTGATATACATTAGTTTTGGACTATTTCAGTTATTATATTGGATTAACTTAAAAAGCCAAAAAGAGAATTCTCTCATTTCTGTCCTGATAATTCAGCAGCAGACAGGGCTAGAACAAATTACTGCTACTTCTGGAAAGTCGACATTCCCAGCCTTCCAATGAGCTACAGAACTATTTCCAACTCTGGCAGGTTGCAAGAATGAGGAGTACTATGATTAACTTCCAGCCATTCTGCTCAGCCCCTTCATTTGCATTTTGGCATGATTTTAACAGCTAATTTCACACACACAAGTAGTGTTAGGATGTAATGCTTCCTTCCGCACAAAAGCTAGGAATTGTGGCCTCTTGTTTCCAAAGTCAAAAGGTGTAACAATGGCCCAAAAAGCTGAAAGCAAGCGGAGAAAAAAGATAATTTAAAAATCTGTTAATCATTTCATTTGTCCACTGCAACCAAAAGCAAAGTACTGGCTGTAGAGGCTACAGTGGCCCTAATGAAGGCAGTATCAAGTGTAAGTCAGAATTTCATTTTTTACTTAAAACCAGGATCTACTTGGAACCGTTTCTCCTGCACTCAAAAAAAGCTAAGCACTGAACAGCTTGCACCACTAAGCAGTTAAGCAGAAGTAACTCAAGTAACTGTAGAATAGGATTCAAAAAGCTGCTGTGTTATAAACAAGGGAAGTATTTGGTGGTATGTATTATGCCTTGCCATTAATACATATACAAACTTAATATCCAAAATGCACCTCTCCCAGAGTAGCATAACTTCAAAAATGTTAACTCCCTAGTTTTCCTAAGAGAATAGTTGACAATGACTGCTAAAATCTTTACAGAACAAGTTGGTTATAATTACATTGATATTAATAGAAAAGGTCAGTGTATTAACCAGGTATATAGTTGTAGCCGGAGTACAGAATAACACTGGATTGAAGCTAAAGGAGCTATTAAATTATGTATTCCTATCTAATGAAAAAGCTAAGATTTTCAGCACCTTCCCTAAGGTTTAATTCACAGAGAGAGATTAGACATAAAAATCACCTCAAAATGAAACTTCATAACCTATTCATCATTTATGAACCTCTCAGAAGTTCACAACATAATTCATTGCAGAAATGGTAAAATGAGCTGATAAACATCTGCAATTATACCAGAAATTGTTTACATACAAAACCAGTTATACATGTAGTGATGGACATGCTTATCTGAACTGAAGCAAAATCTTAATTTTACTGGCTTGGATACATTTGGGGTTCTAGCACTGCAAACAAGCTTGCTGCTTTTCTGCCTTATATACTCAAATTTGTTTTTTAATTAATGAAGCACTTACAGTCTTGGACAACTTAAATAGCTTGCCACTTCGATTGATATATGACTGACAACTGCCACCTCAAATACTGCAAGTGATTAGGGTGGGGAGTGTCAATTTTTCAACAAAAAATCAGCAGGTAATTCTTCATGAAAAAAATTCCACATTTCTTTTAGCTTATCTTTGTGCTTCACTCCATTTTCTGTTACTACAAAGCTGACCCACTATGCAGCAGGAAAGGACTGCCAATATGTTAACAATTCATTTCACAAAACCTCCTTCTTTAGCATACAATAAAATCCATGAGCACAGAGAAGTCTCTCTTTAAGGGACTGAGAGTGAGGCATTAGAAAAAAAGTATTAATTTGTACTCTGTACACAAATTGTTGTCAGACATGACAGAAGACAGCAGAACTTTTAATATTAATTCCATAACAGACATTCCTGAGAAGATTTCCACTGAAAAATATGCTATATTGATAACAAAGAACAAGAGGTGAAAAAGTTTGGTGCAATCTGATCTGGTTTTAAGTCGAAAGGATCACTATGCAAGTGTTCTAGGAGTAAGTAATCTCTGGGAAATAGGTATTCAGAGTAGTCGTGTACAGCAGGATCAGTTCTGTCAGCTACAGGAAAACCATCTGAACTTTAAGTCAGTGCATATATTTTAATAAAGTTTTTGGAACCCCTCTCAACATGGTTTGCACATGCAGCCTTCTCATCAGTCTCTTGCTGCACACAGCTTGGAGATGAAAAAAGATCTTACATATAAAAAGGAAAGCTGCTATTTTAAAATGAAAGATACTCTTCTGGCAGAAGTTTTGCTGGCAGACATACCCAGGAATGGATTATAAGTAACAGGATGTGGAGCAACTGGGAAAATGAAGCAGCCCACAGCTGCTTATACATTTCTAATGGAGGAAGGGATCAGAAATGTTAAATGTTTTGAGCAAACCTGGAGGGGACTCTGTCAGTCCATCCAAGCGTGAATTGTTCTGTAGATGATTTTGATCAAAGGGACGTGGGAGAACTGCATTTACATCCCGAATCAGTTAACCTGGTTTTTCTGCAGATACACAGACTCCCAATTTGTTTCTTTGGCAATCTTAAAGAGAGGAATCCCTACTGGCAACAGCTGGAGCGAGATGAAACTGTTAGATCTGAGAACAGACCTGAGTGCATTCAGATATCCTGCTGCCATGCTAATGGCTAACAAGATTTGGATCTTAGAAAGACACTAGAGTTTCTGTTAATAGTTGGTGAAGCCCACTTCTGCTATCAAGCTTTTGTGAGGAGGATTAAAAATGGGTTGGCAGCTCCACTAGCAGGCTCTGGGTGAGACTTACAAACAGCTAAAGTATGTCTTGCCTGATGCACACTTTCATCTCTCTTACTTTATTCTGTGGCAGTCCTGCAGTATATTCCAACACGAGGAAATCATTGTAACTGTTAATAGGCTTAAGTTATAGGAAGCCACCTTAACTGCTCTTTGATACTTATTTTACCAATCTGCAAATGTCCTGTTGAGACCACAAGAGATGAGGGAATATATACACACTGTGAACTATGAGAGCATGTGGGATTCAAAAACTGCTGTGTTTTCATCCTCAGCAACAGAATTGTTTGCCTAAAAAAGCAGCAACAGATGCAATCCAGTATTCCTTTTATCAATTAGCAAATGTCACCAAATGCTAGGAAGAGAGAAAAATCTCATTCCCTGGAATTTACAGTTTGTGTTTCTGAGCTAAAAATGGCCTGAATCAGAAATGCAGTTAATTAGCTTTCTGAAAGAAAAGGAGGTGACCATCCACACAGAATTACATAAAACCCAGAGTGTTTGTTTTCCTTCCCCCACTTCACCTTGTCTGTCTAAATTGCAGAAGTTCTTTACCAGAAGACCAGTCGATCACTTTGAATTTGTGCAGTATCTAACATCATGGGACCCTACACTTGATCAGAGTCCTTAAAAGCAACCAAAACGCATACAGTAATTTACCTTGCATATGTAGTCTTGGCCAGAGAATAAGAGAGGATGTGACATCACAAATGTCCCCACCACATTAATAGCTAACGCTAATGTTTAGACATACGTGGAGGGAAAAATGGATGTAAAAGCTGGGATACTGTGATTAGCAGTTACTGGAAGTAACATTAATTTTAGCACATGGGGCAAATTAGGAGCTAGATTTAAGAATAGTACACAGAAAAGCATTCATTCCCATACGGCAAAACGTAGTATATAATAAAGATCAAGCATTTGTTACTCTAGGCTATATCTGCCAGAAAGAAGCAGGCATCCCGGCAAGATTTTCTAACATGCTTGGCCTGTGTGTTGCCAATTACTGTCTGTTTGGACTGTATGTATACAAGGTGCTGCCTAATGCAGGGAATACAGCACAGAGATAAAACAGTGAATTCTGCTTTAAGCAATGTCCGTCATCTTTGTCCCTAGGATTCTGACTACCACTATACTAAGAAAGTGTAATACTCTAAATGATTAAGTCTTTATTTAAAAAAATGGTGGAATGTTTCACTCTGTTTCTCAGTTGTGCATGACTGCTCCCCAGTTTGATATTCAGCTTGCCCTGCATGCATAGATGCCCCACTGTCATCGCTGAAAACAGACACTGCTCTCAGAGCCACATAGCAAATCTAATCTGTTTCCTCTATATGTGAAGATCCCTAGAGCATGCAGAAAAAGCAGAGGAAAGACATACCATAGGGAGCTCAGAGCAGTACTGTATCCCATGAAATGTGAAGAATGCATCTTGCCAGAAAGTACAAGCATATGTCAGATTTGCAGCCTAAAGCTCTTGTTTTTCTAAGCAACACACTGATTTCCCAATATTGGGTTGAGCACAGGTTTACTGTAAAACTAACTATATTATTCTCATTTTTGAACATAATAGGAGCCACTCATTTGTGAATCTCTCTATCTATACTTCAATACACAAATTAACAAATCTTTTTTACAGCTTAGATAAATTTTAGGGAATTTTAAGAAATGCCAGCAAAGAAAATCTTGACTCCTGCAAACAATGCCTAGTTTATTACATCAGTTCAGGGGACTCTTCTATATCATTCCATAAGCCTATTTCAACAACAGAATAGTAATAAGAATTGACAATGTATGGTTGGTGTCTTCACTCTTAAAAATTTATACAGCTGTCTGCAGGCTATGTGTTCTAAAATGTTTCATGCAAAGAAGTGAAGAAAATTAAAAATCGATTCTTTTAAAAACAGAGACAGAAGCTTGCTGCTTTTTCTTTATTTCTAGTTAATGTTCACACAGGTAAAACCTATCAGATCTTTAAATGGTAGTACAAAAGCATGCACTGTAATTTGTGGAATAAAAGCCTGTAGCAAATACCAGATTCATGAATAAAAGAAGCCCCTCAGTCCTTCTGCCTCAGTGGCTATGCTGCTCTAGGCTTAATGATAGCCTCTTCTACAGTGTACATACCATGAAGTAGAAGCTCAATGTAAGGTGCAGAAGCACTAACCTCTATTATATTTACCAACTAAATATCTCTAAGTTTATAAGGTCAGTCTCCCATATTTCAGTGTCCTCTAGTAGAATTCTCACCCCACTCCTCCATTAAAAACAAAACAATCAAACCCACCTATCTATCCCTTTGATACTCAATGCAGTCACGCAATCCTGTACTGTTTGTGCTGTTGCTTACATTAGCAAGCCATGTTCAAGTGGCATTTTTAGATACTTACTACTTCTGCTTCCTGCACCACAATAGAATACAGAGCTAAGTCTAGAGTCATCTTTCATCCACAATGAAGAACAGTCATGTCACGGTGATATGTAATAGACTTTAAAAGAGGAAAAAAGAAGGAGCAGAGGAATACTGTGTCCCATTAGGTGCATTATAACTACTTGAATTTCAGTTTATCAGAAATAACAAGATCATTCTATATCCTTCTGAAAGTCCTACAAGACTTTTAGTGAAAGTAGTTCGGTATCTCATGTCTGTTCCAATTGCTGTGTCTGTGTCCCCGCATGCAGTACCAGGTCACTCAGCACTAGCACTCCACTGCATCATCCTCAGGATCTGTCTCTTCTCTCAACATCTTCCTTCCTTCTTACTGACTTGTATGGTCCAAATTAGCCTTCGAGATTTGAAAATATTTTTCCAGGAAGTGGTATGGATTTAGGACACCAAGTGATTGCCTTGTTGCTTTTAAAATGCGCACAAAAGTGGGTTAATGGAAGCAGTCTAAAACGTCTAAAAATATCCTGAAGGATTTTTTTTCCTTCTTTCTTTTCCTTTCATCCTGAACATTGATAGGCCTTGTTTTCAGCCAAAAAACTCCTGTTTGCTATCCCACGTTCTACTGTGTCATGTAAATGCACACAGTTTAAGGCATTCCTTAAGGAATTAAGGATACCTCAGGCATCCCTGCCCAGTACGCTCAGGAAGAACAGATAGAAGTCCTCTCTCCACCTTTTTGCTAGCAGTGTCACAGAGATAAGGACAGCACACATACAGAGTATTAGTCAGAGACACCTCTTTCTTTGTCATACTATCACCCGGCATAAAAGTAATGGCACAGGAAGGCCCTTAAACATTTGCTACCTAGGCTGCTTTGAATACCTCTTAAGGGTTGTTGAGAGCATAAGAAGGATAGGCATTGCCAGGGAAAGGCAAGAGATGGAAGAGATTAAAAATGAAGATGAAAAGGGCAGGGAACAAAGTGAAGGTGGCCCATACTTACTATAGCCACTAATCCATATAACATGACAAAAGGAAGACAGGAAGACAAATATTCAGCCCATTTATCTTGTGTAATTGCCTGCATCTCCATGCCTTTCTGCAGGAAACATGCACTGTTCTTTTGCACTTACACATGCATGCACAGCTCTGGACTATTTACAGAAATGGCACAGGCTTTAGCAAAAGCCAGTCAGATTTTCTGAAGTCCTTTTAGGAGGCTCCTTGCTGTATCCACATCATTTCAAGAAGGGAAATCTCTGGTTAGCGTAATAACATCTATTCTTATGTTGTCTCTATCTGTACAAGAGAGCACAATCACTGAAATAAACATAGATGCTTACCGATATTTTCAAGGTAAAAAAAAAATAAAAGGTATACTGTAACAGTGTTAGCCATAGTAGATAGCTGTACTAAAACAAAACCAAAACCAACCAACCCCCGGATTTCCCTGTGTTACTTGAAAGTGACTATCTGCATTAATTTTGTAAGTCATGAGAGTATTTATCTTACTGATACTTCTGTGTTTCTTTGCTGTAAGAAAAAAAGACAAAGCCCATTTCAGATTTTAAGCAGCAGCACAACAAGTTATAAAGAGATTGCTATGTCCTTGCAAAATAGAGGGTGGGCATAGCACATCTTTAAGAAAGGTTAATTCAAGAGAAGAACATACTGACACATGATTTATATAGGATTGTGGAAACTGTGCTTACTGTAATGACAAAAGCCAACTTTGAAGTGTTGGTCCAAAACCAGTGTAGAAAAAAACAAAATATATAGACAACTTTATAACCACTATCAAGATTCTGTTAGAGACAAGCGATCTCAGGAGTACAAGTGCTTTATAAGTTCCTGCACTTAAACTCAGATCTTTGAGTGCACAGTTTAAACACAAAAGCCGCAAAAATAAACTGCAAGTAATTTTGAAATAGTAGCGTCTATATAAGAAATACTGGAAACAAAAATATCTGAAAACTAATGTCAGTCATAGGTTGATAATGATGGGATGTTTGTTTATTTTATTTGCTTTAAAGACTAGTGAACATCCATAACTTGAAGACCAGTAACAGGTGCTAGATACTTTCTTCTGAAGGATGAATTTTCAGTGTAGGGTGAGTCAGCAATGATTAACAATCGATACTTTGTACTGGGATAATGACAGGGAGTATATTTTCAGTATATTAATACTTATGAAAATCTGGAATTATTGCAAAGATGGAAATTGCAAAACTACCTAAGTCTTAACCTACTGTCTCATAATCCATCCCTAAAAATCAAATAAGCTTCTAGGAATATAACACATGGGTTTGCAAGACCCATATGGTATTTTAGAACACCCACAGTTGCGAACTTGACTTGCAAGGGAAAAAGCGGTTGTTGGTAAGAAAAGTCTCATAATTATATACAATCTGTTTTAATATGGGTAGAGAGAAGAAAGGGCAGCAGAAACATACGTAATAAAACACAAATGCTAGATGGACACTTTCAGGGGCAGACTTGGATTCCTTTTGTCTTTCCCCAAGATAATCTATCTATGCCAACATTACAGCAGCATCTAGATGAGTTCGGTCAAGATCACCGTAATTCACAGTCAGTGCATGCTCACTCTGGAACTCTAAAGGGCAGAAAGTCTAACAGCAACACAGGGAAAATCACAGAGAGAGAACATGCCATTTCAGCATGAGCCACTAAAATGCCTGAGCAACGAGAGGGGAAAATTGGGAAAATAAAATGGAACTTCTTGAATGTGA